GAACTTTGGTTTAATTACTCTCTACCTTTATTTGAAAATGTTTCTTAATAACAGAATAACCATCTCGGGAGGAGTAAAAGAAACATTGCACATTGGAATGTAAATATTAAAGCTGTTTCAAGGGCTCTGAGAAGGTAGAGAAGTCGTTAGACTTGTATAATTTCAGAAAATGTAGTTTATACTCTCTGAGTGGGGATACAATTTAGTAGGGGGGAATAAAGGAATTATAATAATATTTTGGCTCATTGTATGCAAAATATTGCATTGATACATATATAGAAAGTGGTGGTACTAACATGGATAAAGTAGGAAAGTTAAAGAAATGTACTGCAGGAACACATACATATAATATATATATTTTTGATGGAGAAAGATGACATAACACATCTGATGAATTGAGCCCATAAGGATTCTTTAATTTGCTATAAAATATATTTTAAACAAGATTATATACTTCCAGGCTGGAATTTATACCATACTGAATCGTAACTATTCCCATTAAATCTTTCAAACAGTGCTGAGCTGGCCTGATACTGAAATTGTGGATGTTATTATATAATCGAAATCAACAAGAGCAGCAGACATTTTGTTTTGCTCCTTGCGTTGACTTTACTCCTTTTCCGTATCTACGGTAAATTTTAAGGGAAATTTTCTTAATTAAATAAGTTGATGCTCATGGTATAAAATAGAATAATTTTCTAGCCATAATAAATGTGGGGATTGAAGAAATGTTTTAGCTACTGATATATTTTGAGTGTTTAAACTGCAGAGCCAAAACAAAATGAAAAGAATTTCTGCTTTGACAGCTACAGTGAAAGAAAAGAAAGAAAGAAAGAAAGAAAGAAAGAAAGAAAGAAAGAAAGAAAGAAAGAAAGAAAGAAAGAAAAAAGATAAAGGAAGAAAAAGTCCTAATGAAAAAGATATCCTACGAGCTACAATTATGAGAATGAAATACCCTTTAGCATTGTTAAGTAATAGTGGTTTAATTTTGATAATCTGGTAATGTCAGGGATAAAAGAACCTTGGAATCTAGAAACTATATATTTATCAGCTGGCAGATTTTTTTGGTCCTTAGTCCAGTTTTGAATGGGGAGAGTTTTGCACCACCATCTCATAAACATTAGGATTCTTTGGCACACACTTCCCACCCTGCTGTTAGACAGCTCACGGCTTGAGGGTGGAGTGAGCAACAAGCCTTCAGCAATGTCATTTCTGTGTCCACTCATCTGAATTTTCAGATACCTCTGGAGGGCCTTCTAGTGATCCCTCCCTTTTGTAAGTCATGTTTTTTATGACTATTTGCCATGGTATTATTATATTTTACTGTCTTTCTCATATTGTATCACTCCTGTTTTTCCAACGAGTGGGGAAAGGGTTCATCAGAGTTGAATGGTATGGCCACACCCAAGAGGCCTCACCCAGACCTGAAGCCCTGTTTCAAGCGGAATGAGATTTGCCATCATTTGGAATTCTAAATACCAGATTATCAATAATCTCTGTTTGTAAATAAAAAGAAAATGATTGTTTTCTTTTTTTGCATCTTGCCCCTATGTGGCAAATATTCATTATGTACTTACTATAGACGGTCATGGGGATTTCTTTGAAGGTGCTACCACGAACAAACTGAAAATAAATGTTTATATTTAGTAACATGGAATGTGGTAGTTGTATTGACAAAATCTATAGCACCACTTTAATTCTTACTAAAGTAAAAACAGTGAAGCTATCATTACACTTAATAGAAATGAAGTCCTTATATAAATCATCTTCCAATTCCTTGCTATCAGGCTAGATAGTATAA